ATGTATGACTTTTTCTTTTGATGTCAAATATCATCGTTGTTGCTCTTTTCCAGGAAATTTTGTTGGTGGGTAACGTTGGGTTTCATACACAAACCTGTCTTTGTATTGCCTACAATTACAAGTATAGTTACGATCATCGGTATACTGGTTGTTTGTTTAACCGCACCAAAATCACCAGGTATGTCCTTGTTGTTTTAAATTCTTCATATTCAATACGATAAAAATTCACAGTTAATTCGGTTCTATCTTGCCAGTATTGTGAGTTTTGGTTAAAAAACTCAAATTGTGATAATATTAGATATCGACATGCTCGAAGCAAATCATCAAGCGAGGATAGAATTATAAGCATTACAATTGCTTTACTTTTCCATTTCAAATTAGCAGTGATAAATGCGAGCCAATCAAGGTGATCATCACTAGTCGATCTAATACTTTGTCCATAAGTTGGACCCTTTCATTTAACTTATTGGTAGGATTTATAGATTAAAAAAGAATTCCAGAAAGACTCATTCCATTGCCGCTTTGCTCTAGAGGAACAAGGATAATTCGTTTCTCTAAGACAGAGATTATTGCGTTTTCTATATATATTTTTTTTCATATCTAAAAAAAGCAACAATTTCACGACCTGATTTTTTACAAGCTGATGATACACATTGTTACTTGTTGTAGAAAGATTAACTTTATCTTATTCAATGTTCGTGAGTCACATCTACTATTATTTTTGGTGGTACTCTTTCATCTCTCTGAAGGAAAACAGTAACTTATTCTGGATTTCTTTTTCTCTATCTCATTGATATGCTCTTGGATGTAATAGAAATACGAAAGAATAAGAGAATATACAAGTGATTTTCTCATAGAACGTGACGAAAGTAGATATTTCTTCTCCATGATACACATCTTGTTTACATTTTCTCACTTTATGTTGCCAATAGAGGAGAGCAAGTAGTATATGTGTACCATCTATATCTTCTTTTGTTCTACTATCATGTCTGAACTAGTATACTTACTCTTTTCTAATATGTTCAGGTACATTCGTTTTATTTTTCTTTCTTTCTGTATGGTTCATGTATGTTCTCTCGTATTTTCTATTGAGTTCTCATCTCTTTATTACATTCTAGTGAATTTTTTCTGTTACCGCTCTTTGAAACTATAAAACTTTGTATGTACGTCATCAAATAATAATTCTATCTGATTAGTAGCTGGATAGTGATAGATTATCTTCAGAAAGCGAACAGATAGTAAGTACATGTCTCGATAATAAAAATGAGTAATCCTCACCATATGTTGAAATTATTACTAAGCCTGACATCAGACAAATTATTCTATAATTCACTATTTTCAATCAGTTCTGGCAAAGAACAAATTGTATTTAATCTCTATAAATGTTAGGATTATACTTTGGAAAGAATATCTCATATATTTGAAATGAAAACAATCTTGAATCATGATGACAAATCAGATGATCAAGATTTAGAAGATCTCTTATCATCAGCATCTACACATCATCATCGTGGTGAGTGTTAGTGTGTGAAATGTAGATGGTTTCTCTTCCGTAAACTCACACACCTGCTCCTGCATCATAGCTGCTCAACCTTTGATAAAATACATCTGGATCAAAAATCTTCTTTGAAAATTAAGATCGGCTGATGATTCTTAGTTCTTCATGAAACGAGAACTATGATTCACTCTTTTTTTTGAACTGTTATCATCATGAGACTAATCAATAATTTTCTTGATCCTTTATTTCATTTTATTTTCTTATTAAGTGAAAAAGTTAGCTAAAAATCTTCTATTTTTATATCACAGGTACCGATGCGTAAGATTAATTTGTAAATTGCCAATTCGTGAACATGTTCCTTTATTGAGATATGGGCAATGCGACGAATTCTTTTGCAGCTTTTTTTCTACGCTATGAATTCTACAAATGAGAAAACTATGAGCTCGAACAGAGAATATCTAGGAATATGATATTCGCATTATTATTGTTACCAGTAAGTGATAAGTAGTACTTGCCAGTGAGAGGATTTTGATCGGTTTTACCTTTGCCTCAAAGAAAGTCAGTTGTATGAAAATTACAATTTTTTTTTATCAACTTTGAACATATGTCTTTCCCAAAGGAGAGACTCATAAAGAAGACAACTCGACTGACTTTGGAATTCTCAAAAGAAGTACATATTTCGATGCAGAAGGAAACGACAAATCATTTAATACTATGGTCAAACTATTTGGAAAAAGATTCAATGGCTTCTGACGCAAATTGCTATACCATATTGTTACTGCATTCAGGTGACTGTATATTAACAATAAGTTTGTCAAAGCATCTCTTCATCCACCTACAAATAATCTCATTTGAAATAACAGCAAACTCTGCACAAATTCTTAGATGAATCATCCAGAAATAGTAAACATAAGCTGAATTAATGATGAGTCAATAGTGTTACTATCGATATTTTATGTACGTCATGAAGACTCAGACTTCTCAAGTATTTTCAAAGCGGCTTTACGATGGACTTATTAGCTAAAAATTTTCGAGAGTTGATATTGCCTCATCAAAACAAAAACCGATTATGTGGTTTTACGGAACGGGTCTAAGATGATTAGTAGAGATTTGCCATCTGTATATTTATGATATCCACAAGAAAATTGTGCCAACGTGTAGTCCATCAAAAACTGCATCAAATCCTTAAAAGGAAGATTCATCGTAAAGCCCTTTTGAAAGAAATTGAGAAAAGTGAATCTTTATGACGTACCCAAACTTCGATAGAAACAATATTAGTTCACCACGAAAGCTTATGTTTACTATTTCTGGATGATTCATCGAAGAATTTGTGCAAATTTTGCTAATCTTTCAAATGAGACTATTCATAAGCAGACGAACAAATATTTTCACAAAGTTATTGTTAGTGTACAGCCATCTGACCACCAGAAATCATCGAATCGCTTTCCAAATAGTTTGAATGTGGCATCAAATGATCTGTGGACCCACTCTGCATCGAAATATATACCCGTTTTGAAAATACCTCAGTAAATTGATTCGTCTTCTTATTGGTCTCCATCCTTTATTGATAGCCTTTCGAAATATGTGGTCTTGAGGTTTGAACTCTGAAAAGACTGTTTCTCGATAATTAATAACGATACTACAAAATTTAAGAAATCATGAGCTAACGATGATTCGCCTTTTCAGCTCTCTGATTAAATGCAAAGTACTTATTACTTACCACTTACTGTTGCGTGATAATCGCTGCCACCTAATACTTGCCTAACCAGTGATAAATGATGAAGATTATGACGCAACAATAAATAACCCATGGTTATGCTAAGCATTTATTACTACTATATAGAAGATTTTTCAATCATTAAAACACTCACTATTACTTTGGTAAGTGGAAGTCTAAGTAACAATACACGTGATATTCCTCAGGATATTAGTTGATTAATTTTCTTCATTAATGGGTTTTTTGTAAGTTATACCTGTTATATTCATATTTCCTAGTAGCTCACCGTGTACTGAAAAAGTTAGTTAATCCTTTGGACTTCATCATCTGAAGAAGAATACATATCTTTCTCGTTTAAATTTTCAAAATATCCTAAAAACTACATAGCTATGATAAGCTAGGTTTAGCAACAAATGAATCCAAGTATGACAAACGAGAATGATCAGAAAATAGGGAATTACAGGTCCCGATAGACAATATCGAAAATGAATAATCACTCAATTCGTCCGGCAAATGCTATTAATAAAAATTCGTTGAACTCTCCATTGTATATTCCCAGATACAAGTGAAAAATATTCATGACGCAATTAGAGGATTGTTGCAACACAACCTCATTAGCATTCTTTTGATTTCAAAACACTTTAGAATTTTTGCCATTATGCTATAATTGTGTCCGATGACATGTCATAGAAGAACCTGTAAGATAGGGATGATAGTAGTTATGGTCATATGATTAGAATCAGTCTATGGTCCTTACTTAAATCATATTAGTTACGATGTCTGTTGCTTGACAGTCATTTACGCTTCGTGAACGAATTGTCAAATAAATGAAAGAGAGCAGGCAATGAGTAATCTGACTGATGACTTCCGCGAGACTCAATGAGGTTATTTTGAAAAGCACTGGTTTGCATCCGGATTGATACAATTCACTAGGAATAGTTAAACCCTAGTAGCTGATCAGTCTTTATTTCTTTGTTGTTGTGTTACTTAGTTCCAAAATGTGAACTTAACTTTAAAGCAACGATCCGAAATCCAATTGACTATAAGAGTAGTCCACGATCTGTCGTCATGGGGGACTTCAACAACGATACTTGGCTAGATATTGTTGTTGCCGATTATGTTGCTGATAATATAGCTATATATTTTGGATATGGCGATGGCACTGTGGCAAACTCTGTCACGTTTTCGACTGGTTCTGGCTCTGCTCCATACATGGTTGCTGTTGGTGATTTCAACAACGATCGTCGACTGGATATCGTGATCGCAAACTTCGGCACCAACAGCATTGGTCTGCTTTTTGCACTTCAAAATGGGTCTTTTGCGAATCAAACAGCTCTATCAATGCTATCATCTCGTCCTGTGTGGATGCATATAGCAGATCTCAACAATGACTCAGCATTAGATATTGTCACTGCTAACTACGGCACACATAGTGTAAGCATATTTCATGGATATGGAAATGGAAGCTTCTCAAGCCCGAGCACGTACTCTACTGGCTATGATTCTTTTCCGTTTGCGGTTGTCAGTGGCGATTTCAACAACGACAAACAGATGGATCTTGCTATCGCTAACTATGGCACAAACAATGTTGGTATACTACTTGGAGCTAGTAACAATACTTTCACGAATCAAATCACGTTTTCAACTGGTCCGAATTCCCATCCATACTCGCTTGTTGTTGGTCATTTAAACGAAGACACCATACTAGATATTGCCGTCACCAACTATGGAAATAACAGTGTAGGCGTTCTTCTAGGTCATGGGAACGGAACTTTTACGAGCCAAATGACATATTTTCTCAATGCTGCTTCTCCATATTCTATTGGCATTGGTGATTTTAACAACGACAATCGAATGGATTTAGTCGTCACCAATAATGGTACTAACAATATAGCTCTACTTGTCGGATATGGTAACGGTGCCTTTGCAAGCCCAAAAATGTATTCAACTGGATCTTCTTCATCAATTTCCATTGCCATAGGTGATTTAAACAGAGATAATCGTTTAGACATTGCTGTCATCAACAATGATACGAACACCATAAGTATCATGCTTGGTTATGACGAGTTTTTTCCAATTCAAACGATATATTCAACTGGCACTGCGCCATACTCGGTAGCTGTTGGTGATTTTAATCACGACACCCGATTGGATATCGTCGTTGCTAATTATGGTGACAAAACTATAAGTGTACTTCTCGGATATGGCAATGGCTCTTTTGTAAATCAAACGAAATATTCAACTGGCTCTGGCGGACTATCTGTAGCTGTTGGTGACCTTAACAACGATGCCCAACTGGATATCGTTGTCGCTAATGATGACAACACTGTAGGTGTCCTTGTTGGATATGGTAATGGCTCTTTTGCAAATCAAACAAAGTATTCAACTGGCTATCAATCATGGCCTGTAGCTGTTGGCGACTTTAACAACGATACCCAACTGGATATCGTCGTTGCTAATTATGGTGACAACACTATAAGTGTACTTCTCGGACATGGAAATGGCTCTTTTGCAAATCAAACGACATATTCAACTGGTGATGCGTCACAGTCTGTAGCTGTTGGTGATTTTAACAACGACATCCGACTGGATATCGTCATCGCTAATTTTGGTGACAATACTATAAGTGTGCTTCTCGGATATGATAATGGCTCTTTTGCAAATCAAACGATCTATTCAACTGGCTCTTCTCCCCGGTCTGTAGCTGTTGGTGACTTTAACAATGACACTTATCTGGATATCGTCGTTGCTAATGCGGATGACGACACTGTAAGTGTACTTCTAGGATATGGAAATGGCTCTTTTGCAAATCAAACAAAATATTCAACTGGTTCTGCACCATACTCTGTAACTGTTGGTGACTTTAACAACGACACTTATCTGGATATCGTCACTGCTAATTTTGGTGGCAACAATGTAAGTGTATTTCTGGGATATGGAAATGGCTCTTTTGCAAATCAAACAAAATATTCAACTGGCTCTGGGCCACTGTCTCTAGCTTTTGGTGATTTTAATAATGATACCCGACTAGATATCGCCGTTGCTAATTTTAATGACGACACGGTAGGCATACTACTTCGGTATGACAGAGGAGCTCTGAAAGAAAAAATCACATTTGCATCTGCCAATAGTTCTCGTTTACGCAGCTTTGCTGTTTTTGATTTCAATAACGATAGCCTACTAGATATCGCCGTTGCCAACTATGGTACCAATAACATAGGTATTCTTCTTGGACATGGAGCTGGCGCATTTGGAAACCAAATGATGTTTTCAACGGGCTTAAATTCTCATCCTTACTCAATGGCTATTCATGATTTCAATAAAGACGGTCAAGTGGATATAGCAGTGGCTAATTATGGTACTAAAAATCTTGTTACATTTCTGGGAAGTGAGAATGGAACATTTGAAAATCGAGGGAGTTATGGTGTAAATTTCGATTTTGCTCCATTGGTAGTTGGCGCTGGTAGTGTCAACAAAGATGGACGTTCAGAAATTATTGTCGCATATGACGGCATCGATCATGTAGATGTACTTGTCACATATAATCTCGGATCTTTCGATCATCAAACGACATATTCAACTGGAGGTACGCCAAGATCTGTAGCTGTTGGCAATTTTAATAACGATATCCATCTGGATTTCGTCGTCGCCCATCAGGTCGTTAACACGATAAGTGTCCTTCTCGGATATGGAAATGGCTCATTTGCAAATCAAACGACCTATTCAACCGGCTCCATACCATGCTCTGTAGCTGTTGGTGACTTTAACAACGACACCCATCTGGATATCGTTGTTGCTAATTATGGTGACAAAACTATAAGTGTACTTCTCGGATATGGCAATGGCTCTTTTGCAAATCAAACGACATATTCAACTGGTTCTGAACCATACTCTGTAGCTGTTGGTGATTTTAACAACGACGCTCTATTGGATATCGTTGTTGCTAGTGAGAATGACACCACTATAAGTGTACTTCTCGGATATGGCAATGGCTCTTTTGAGAATCAAACAAAATATTCAACTGGCTCTAAACCATGGTCTGTAGCTGTTAGCGACTTTAACAACGACACCCATCTGGATATCGTCGTTGCTAATTATGGTGACAACACTATAAGTGTACTTCTCGGACATGGAAATGGCTCTTTTGCAAATCAAACGACATATTCAACTGGCTCTCAGCCCAGCTCTGTAGCTCTTGGGGACTTTAACACCGATACCCATCTGGATATTGTCGTTACTAACCGGGATGATAACACTGTAAGTGTCCTTCTCGGATATGGAAATGGCTCTTTTGCGAATCAAACGAAATATTTATCTGGCTCTAGGCCACGATCTCTAGCTGTTGGTGATTTTAGTAACGACAACCGACTGGATATCGTCGTCGCTAATTGGAATGACAACACTATAAGTATCTTTCTTGGATATGGCGATGGCTCTTTTGCAAATCAAATGACATATTCAACTGGCCTTAGTCCTTCATCTGTAGTTGTTGGTGATTTTAATAATGATACCCGACTGGATATCATCGTCGCTAACCTGAATGAGAATAGTGTTAGCATATATCTCGGATATCCCAATGAAGGTTTTCTAAAGCAAGTGAGTCTCATAACTGGGAATGGATCTCGGTCTAAGTCATTCGCCATTGGGGATTTTAATAATGACAGTCAAACAGATATTGCAGTTGCGAATTCAGGCACTAACAACATTGGTATTTTTCTGAGATATGACAATGGTTCTTTTGCAAATCAAATGACATATCCAACCGATTCCTCTCCATGGACGGTAGCTGTTGGTGATTTCAACAACGACATAATACTTGACATTGTCACCGCGAATCATGGCAATGACACTGTTGGGATATTTCTTGGATGGGGTAACGGTTCTTTTTCAAGTCAGAAAACGTTTTCAACCGGTTTCAACTCTCAACCGAACATGGTTGCTGTTGGTGATTTCAACAACGATACCTTGCTAGACATTATTGTCGCCAATTATGGCACAAGCAATGTCGGTGTGTTGCTTGGATATGGTAATGGCTCCTTCGCTGATGTAAAAAGTTTTTCGATCGGTTATGACTCTCGTCCGTTCTCTGTTTCCGTTGGTGATTTGGACAATGATGGAAAGCTGGATTTCGCCGTCGCCAATGAAGGAGCTGACAATCTAAAAATTTTCTTACAGACTTGTTAATGTCGCAACTCCTACCTTGAACTTTTTTAAATTTCATTCAGTATTTCTAACTTCTACTTAGTCTCACTAATATTTCTTGTAATCTTTTCTTATTCATCTTTTGATTTCTATGCTCAAATAAACTGCGATTGAAAGTGAGTGCCTCAACCAAAGTATGATGCGTTTCTACCCCGCTTAAGGATCTTATCATACAGTGCTGACTAAGAATCCGTTCAAATGATTAGGAACATTAAAAGTGTGATACATAGTCTATAATTTTCACGGCAAATTCTCGAAAGACTCCCCATCATAATAGCAGATGTCGTTACTACAATGATGAGTGAAACAAACTTGGAGGCATTCGGACCTTGTTTAAGAGTCCCATCATGGTGAATAAATCAATCGAAGAACAGATTGACCTATATGTCTATGAGACGAATCAATCTGCTGCTATCAACTCTTACTTTTCAGTAATCCATAAAGTCGAAAACCAAATAGCAATTTAATGAAAAAATAATATACTTTGTATAAGTAATAAATAAAGATAAATGCACAGCTAATTTCACAGACGTACTTTGTACTATTGTTCATTAGAAAACAGAGCGACCTATCCATTAACGAAAAGACAAGTTCAATCTGCTATTCTTAACTATGACTTTCATCATTCGATTTCCTGTCGAAAATTAAATAACAAGAGAATAATAATAGATAGATGTGCTGAACTAAAATAATTTAAAAGAAATGCAGAATTAAGTTCGCTGACGCGTTTTGTGTTATTTATTAATATATTGAAAAACACTCATCAGGACTCTGCAGTACAATTGACACTTTTAGGTGTGTATGATTCGGAGGCGAGATCTTGGAATTGGAACGATTTGACTACATTTATTTCTTTTAATTGTATTGTCTTCGGTGATTTTAATGTGGACCTTGGAAAGGATAAAGCCAAAGCGGAAATGTTACTATCGTGGTCTGATTCTTTGTTTTTGTGTCCATTTACTCCAGACTCTTCGACATCACTAAGAAGTGGTCGAATTATTGACTATGTGTTTACATCTGGGTTTTCTGTCTCCATCCAGACTATCGAAGGAACAAGAACTACAAGTGGTCACAAACATGTCCTGACAGTAATTCCAGTAAAATCAAAGGAAGTTCATTTTGTTAAAAATGTGTACTGGAAGATTTTCTCTATGTTCAGTAAATTTGTCTATCCATGGTGGATAAGAAGGTGAAGTGTAGATCTTTCAGATATTGTGTATGACTAATATGTTAAATTTCTGTCTCTTCTTACGGCCCGTTGTACAATTTTGTTTCCAATAGAAAAAAACTTGTCAGTGTGGCTCCAAGAGAGGCCGAAATGTGGAACTCACAAACTCTAAGCGTTATAAATTTAATATATATTGTCAGAGGTTTTAAAATAAGTTGTTAAAGAAAAACTAAATAGATGAATAAATCAGAATTATAACAATTTCTATAGTTGATACGCGCGCTCTGAAAGTTTATTTTGTTGAAACTGTTCATATTTATTACTTTTCTATCAGATTATTTGATTCATTTAACATCGTAATATTGAAAAAAATTATTTGTATTGTCATATACAACTTTGGTGCATAACTTCTATTCTCTTAATGATAATATCTACACGATGTATGTCACAAGAAGCAGCAAATATAATTTTATTGTTCGCTTCATCGGTTCAACTACTATACTAGCCTGCTATGCATATTTATTTTATTGCTCACCAAGCTACTACGCATATAATTCTTTCTCTCGATTAATTTTGGTATATAGTATTAAGCTTTAGCTACAACTAGAATTCAATTACTTCATATTTTTTAAGTTTCGTCTTATTGTTATTCTTCTTGATGGAAAATACCAATGTTTTACTCATGAATACCTGAAATAAAATCTTCCCCTTTATCAAAAAGCTGTTAGTGCAATTCCTGTGGAATTAAAACGCGAAACGCGATCTGATCCCTGTCACTGACCATATGGGTGTGGGTGTGGGTGTGGATGTGGGTGTGGATGTGGGTGTGGGTGTGGGTGTGGATGTGGGTGTGGGTGTGGGTGTGGATGTGGGTGTGGGTGTGGGTGTGGGTGTGGGTGTGGGTGTGGATGTGGGTGTGGGTGTGGGTGTAGATGTGGGTGTGGGTGTGGGTGTGGATGTGGGTGTGGGTGTGGGTATGGGGTGTGGATGTGGGTGTGGGTATGGGGTGTGGATGTGGGTGTCAATATCCTCTTAATCCCTCCACTTCTGCAGCCACATATCCACACCGAAACCTACACCCGCGCCCACACCTACACCCACAGCCACGTCCACGTCCACGCCCACTCCACAATCGCATCCATACTTATACTCACACCCACCTGACCCACGCACACCCACACACGCACATTTACACTCACACTCAGCCACACCTGTCTTAGTTGCATCGATATACGCACAACAGTCTTTAGTTGCTTGAGGCATCCAAACAACCTAATTCTATTTAATGTGGCCTTCTTTTCAATGGATCGAAAAAAGCTGCTTATTGGCATGTTACATTCAACGCAAACAGGAGAGAAGACAACTTAAAATTCATTTTCTTGCATTTGTGTAATGCAGAATCTGAGTTTCTCTCATTTGCTTTATCTAAATTTGCTCTCCATTCCAGACATATTCCTCGCATATGTTGTTCACATGTCTCTCACAAAAAAAAGTTGCATGTTGCCGTTTTAAATTCATACAAATAAGAGCGAAAGTAATGCGTAATTCATTTTCTTTCAATTCTCTACTTTATAATAGAAATTTTTCCCAGTGAATTTGTTTGTATGGTCTCTCTAAACACAGCACAGCTCTCCCATAAACATTGTGCATTTGTCGCATATATATAGAAGCTGCAAATTTAGTCCGCTATTCATTGCAACAGAACGGTAAGCATGATTTTATATTTGTTTGTTTCTGACTTGATATTTGACTCACGTTTTTCTTGTGAATTATTTGGGAGGCACAGTCAGTAGGATAGACTGTATTTCAGAAGCAAATTATACGTATTTACATAGCCTAAGTTAAAGATGAGGCTTTTCGATGATTATAGAATAAATCAATTTACACAGAACCACCGAATTTCAAGCGATATATTAAGGGTTCCACGGTAAACCGGGCGTTAGATGAGGATTGCCTTGCGCTGTTTTCTAGGCTATCACATAACACAAGCAATTCGATCATTGATAGTGGCTTGTCATGACTTGAAAGATATATTCTAATGTCATCTGCAATGTACTTCCTATATCCTTCAACCTTGATTGCATTTCTTATTTTACAAATCGAGCTATAATAGTTTCTTTTTCCTTTGGTTATTTTCGTTTAAAAGTGGTTTGTTGACGAACGAAGGGAAGCGAGCTCCAAAATCTATTATTTTACTTGTTTGCACAGATAAAATGCGCAAAAGCTTTCCTTTTATTATTGGAACCCATCGGGCCCAATCGAAAATAGGATGCGACGTTTTTTTTTTGGTTACTCAGTTGATCGATTTTTAGATAAAGAGCAAAAATTTCTATCATTTTATAACTTCATCTGACATTATATATTACTAAAGATCCTTTCAACGATCGTAACAAGTATGAAGCCGAATGTATCTTGAAACTTTTCTAGCAGTCTTTTAGCTTTCAGCTATATCACTGATTAAAGAATTGATCGAAAGAGATAGCTAGGTATCGCTGTGCCTATCCATGATGAAAGAAAAATTGAAAGTCAAGGAAAGAAAAGCTGCGTTCTTGTTCTTGAGACCTCCGAAAGTTTTAGGTATTTCGAGAACTTTTGAAGATGATAGATGCTTAAAAGTTCAGCTGATTCCTCATTGCCGAAAGCGATGTGTTCTTAAGAATTGATAGGAGGAACAATTCTAATTTTGTTGTAGTCAATGGCATCATTTTGATGATGTCAGATCTCTACTTTTTAAGATTGTACAAAGTCCAATACAAATCTTCACATATAAAACTTTTTATTTTAACAGCAGCGAAAATTTTTTTGTAATTGACAATGTCAGCAAAGAAAGACTATTGAAAACGACAGAATTCACTTTTGCAAGTTGCTTTCGATCTATGTCATATAGATGGAAGATAAAAAGAAAAGAATGTATGATGATGTCATCGTATAGTAAAAACGATAGTTCGCTAGTTATAAACAGCCTATATGTATACTATACGAAGAACGAAAAACATTCAATGGTCATGGTATATATGTCACTATGTAATAGTGCCAATGTAGTTGCACAATGTCAGTTAATTCCATCATAAAGATAATCTATACAGAATTTACTTTTGCAGTTTTTCTGAAAAAGTGAATTCTGTCGTTTTCGATAGTCTTTCTCTGCTGACATTGTCAATTAAAAAAAAACAAACTTTTGGCTGCTGTTAAAATTAAAAGTTTTATATTTCAAGCTACTATGAGCCTATTTTAAAGGCAGCGTAAATTATTAGACCACAAAGGAATGTGTGAGACGAGCCGGAAACAGCTTCATATCACCTACTCATGCGCTAGAGTGGCCCGTAATAGCTTGACGGTACTCAAGGAAGCATTGTCGTGATGGCGGCAACTACTTGCATCACAGCAAAATACGTGAGATAACCAGCCAAAAAGGTTAAGAGAACTGGTCAATGTGTCAAGTTAGCCTGGAGAATCTTCAGCATGCTCATTGAATAATTTTGGATGACAGCAAAAACCTTCGCATTGTAGAGGAATTGGTGAGAGGGAGATCAAAAAGCTTGAGAACCCCTACTATATGAAAGTACCAGCAAAAAGGTCCAGGCTTCAAGGGATCCTTGTGGATGGAATCGAAAACTTTGCAATCATGGAAGACGTTTTGAAAGGAAGAGTAAAAACCTTCAGAAGCCACTCATGTTTCAACATACTCATGAAAAGTTTTTGGACATCGGTCAATGTCTTGAGGTCATAGGGAAAACTTTCAAACCACACAAAAATTCACGTGAGAAACAGCAAAAAGTTTTAGAGAACCAATCAATCTTATTAAGTATCTGCGAGAACCTTAGGATAACAGATAAGTTTGTTAGCACGGAAGTAAAAAAGATTCGAGGAACCAACCCATATGGTAGATTATCCATGACAATGTTCATACTACGCAACAATGCCATTGGATGACGACGAAAGTTTTCGCATCATAAAAGACTTTCTGAGAGCAACGACATATAGCTTCAGAAGGTTAGATTCTGTGTACGTAATAGAAAAACTTTCAGCATTCTTTGAATGTCTATGTGTGAATGCAAAAACTGTTTCAATACATGGGAATGTTTTCGAGAGACTGCAAAAATTTCAGGAAACCAATTGATGTGTTGCATACTTGAGAAAAGCTTCACGGCAGTAACTTATATCTTTGGGAGACGATAAACAGTTTTTGATCTCACAGACATTGATGAAAGGAAAATCAAGAAGCTTTAGAAGTCAGCCATGTCTTGATATAATCATACAAGGCTTCAGATTATCGATCAACGTTTGTGAGTGATCACTAAGAACTTTAGAGCACAGGACGATTTTCAAGAGAAT